AAGCATGCTTGGGACAAAAATCGGGCCTATTTCTTAAAAATAGGTTGCTTTTTGTTTTTGGTCTTCTTGGGGCTTCTCTGCATGGTCTTCTTGTCTGTGTGGTTTGGGTATTGTCTTCATGAGAAGTCTCCGTTTAGCCCGGTCGGACAACCACGCGCTTCGGGATCGAAAGGTTGTCTGTTTAAATCCCACTGTGGTAGTATTCTGTTGTTTTTGGGGCTTCTGTGTCTACACCCAACAGTGGGCTCTACAAGCCCCAATTCCTTCAAGCATGCTTGGGACAAAAATCGGGCCTATTTCTTAAAAATAGGTTGTTTTTTTGTTTTTGGTGTTTTTGGGGCCTCTGTGTGGCGTGGTGAGTGGAGCCCCTGTAGCTCCTGGAAACTACACCCAACAGTGGGCTCTACAAGCCCCAACTCCTTCAAGCATGCTTGGGACAAAAATCGTGCCTATTTCTTAAAAATAGGTTGTTTTTTTGTTTTTGGTCTTCTTGGGGCTTCTGTGCGGCGTGCTGAGTGGATCCCCTGTAGCTCCTGGAAACTACACCCAACAGTGGGCTCTACAAGCCCCAACTCCTTCAAGCATGCTTGGGACAAAAATCGGGCCTATTTCTTAAAAATAGGTTGTTTTGTTGTTTTTGGTCTTCTTGGGGCTTCTGTGTGGCGTGGTGAGTGGATCCCCTGTAGCTCCTGGAAACTACACCCAGCAGTGGCCTCTACAAGCCCCAATCCCTTCAAGCATGCTTGAGATAAAAATCGGGCCTATTTCTTAAAAATAGGTTGTTTTTGTTTTTGGTATTCTTGGGGCTTCTCTGTGGCATGGTGAGTGGAGTCCCTGTAGCTCCCGGAAACTACACCCAGCAGTGGCCTCTACAAGCCCCAATCCCTTCAAGCATGCTTGAGATAAAAATCGGGCCTATTTCTTAAACATAGGTTGTTTTTTGTTTTGGGTATTCTTGGGGCTTCTGTGTGGCATGGTGAGTGGAGTCCCAGTAGCTCCTGGAAGCTATGCCCAGCAGTGGCCCTTACAAGCTCAAACCCTTTGTCCTGCTGCTGTTGCTGGACTTACCTCGCTTATTTTCGTTTCGAAATTATTCTACCTCGTACCTCGTCAGGTGAGCTCGCCTTAATTTGCCCAGAAGGATGCCAGTTTGCATAAGTGTCTGTTGAAGAGATAGGAGGTTCG